AGATATTTGGATCATGCTAAAGTAACTACATAAAGTTATATAGTTAAGATGAAGTATAAATTTACTTTTCATCGTATTTCACACGTGGGTCATTTTTACCTAATTATAAAAGAAGAAATAGTTAACAAAATAAAAAGAAAAACTTAAAAAAAGTTAGTAAAGATATACCTTGGGCGATTAACAAAGGTTTATTAATATTGCCAGCAAAATTTGATGGACTACAAGATTGTAAATGTTTCAATCCTTCCACAGTATTAGGATCGCCACCTAGACGGTATACGAATTCATCATAAGATGGTTTCCAATACGAAGGGATAGTTCTAATTGGATAGTTTATTTTTAATACAGAATATGAATTATTTTTACTATAAGCAAGTACTTTATTACCTGACCAGCTTTACTATTGTTATAAATAAAGGATGTAAGTAGGCTAACAAATCAAAGCTCAAAATTTTGAGAGAATTATACAAGAAATAAGCATACCAAGATCAAAAGGACCGGAAAATTCAACTCCACAAGCGAATGCAAACTTTTCATTTTCATTATTTTTATTTGTAAGAGCAAGCGCAGCTAATGAAGCAAATCCACCGTAACTTCCACCATAAATTGCAATTTTTTTTTCTATAGCAATTTTTTCAGAAATTGCCCATTTTGCTACATCTAAATGATTTCATATTCGAGTATTGCAGGATTACAGAATTAGTAGGATAAATCTGTAAACAATATATACAATTTAGCCACTATAGAACTTACCAATTAAATCATCGTTCATTTGTTTTCCCCATTGACCAACACCAGCATGAATTAAAGATTTGCCTAGGCCAACGGAAGAACGGTAATTTACATTTAATACAGCATAACCACGATTTGCAAAAAATTGAGAATCGGCTTTGAAACCATAGTAATCACGATTCCAAGGACCACCATGAACATGTAAAATTAATGGCAAAGGTTTTTTTGGTTTGCATTCTGTTGAAGGGTCATATTTTCCGGCTGGAAGTGTAAGATAACAGACTAAATCTAGATTATCCCTGGATCTAATTACTAAAGGGAAAACTTGGGCTAATGTATATTTTTCTAATTTCGGGTAAGCATCAAATAAATGATAAATAGATCTATTGTCGCGATTATAAAGGTAGTGCTTTGGAGGTTGATTTCCACTTTCAAAAGCTACGGTCCAAATTTTATTATCCAAAGATTGAGAAAGTATGTCGAGTTCACCGTCATTAAATTTTCTTAAAAAATCCAAGTCATAAAATATTTTTTCATCAATGTGATACCATTTATCTTTAAGATAAGTGACAGAATATGCGATAGGCCTTTTGGTTTTTGGATGAAGAAGAATTTTATTAATATCTGCTTTTTGATTTGGTGGCCTTGCAACTTCCCTCAGTTCTTTATCGCACGTGTTTAATTTATATATGGCAGAGAATTCACTATCACGCGAATCAACTAAATAAATCGTCCCTTTGTTATCTATAGAAATTATCCTTGAAGATCTGACATCTTTCATTCCATAACTAATTATCGGTCTCCAATCATTAGAATTTTCTTCTTTTATATAGACTTTCTTACGGACTTTATTTTCATCATTACCATGTTTTTTAACTAATTCATTAACTAATTTATTAGCGCATCGAATTTTTAATGAGTCATCGATAGCATATTCATCAAAAAATTGAGTATTCTCTTCAATTAATGTAGCAACACCAGTCTTATAATTAATTTGATAAAGGCTATTCGCATTAGGATTCGGTTTGTTAATTGCAACAATAATTTCTTTCGGACATAGGCGAACAAGCTTAGATTGAACATTGTCATATGGAGTCAAACATCTTACTTTGGTTGTAAAAATATTGACCAAATAAATTTTATAATCTAAATGATATCAAAATAAATCTAAACAAAATTAAGCTTTTGGTATTTAAACCTAAAATAAGAAGAAACCCAGATGATCTTTATAGCTAGATAGGCAATCCAAGAACAAAAATCTTGGTCAAAAATCTCAAAGAAGCCACTTATTTTCTGAGGGTGTGGATAACAACAAGAAACCAATAAAGATTAAATATTAACAAGGCAAAAAAAGAAGTAGCCAAGATAACAGGGTTTTTTAAATTCAAGAAAATGTCATTTAGTCAAATTATATATATAAATAATACAGTACTTGTATTTATTCTAGAGTACAGATTAATGATCTTATATTTAACAAAAGCCCAATGCAATAAAAAACATTAGCCAATACTACAATTAGTGAAATAGAAATTATCAATACTATCTATAATAGCAAATACTATACTAAAACACCCAAAGATAGTAAATTTTAAATATTTATAGAATAGACATATCAAATACTATTTTTCAAAGCTTTTCGTAAAAATAAACACAAGTAGAATAGTCAAAAAATCTATAGTAATAAGACTGAAACAAGATCAACTAAAAACAGATTCATTAAAATGTATATTAACAAACCAGAAGCTTTTAAAGAGAAAGAGATAAAAATAAAAAATTTAGAGGTACAAATCTTATAATAAGCAAAAGTACTTGGTTTTCTAATAAAGAAAAATAAGTTGACTAAGAGTTAAGATCTAAAATTACTTTAAATAGCAAATAATATTGAAGTGGCAAGAATTTTAGAAAAAAGCAACCTTACTTATAAAAAATCAAGTGCAGACAAACTGGGTTCTTGCTAATTTTACAGCTAATAGCAAAAGATGATAAATCAATGCTAATATAAAAGCAGATTAAGTGAGTATATAGTATAAATAAAAGAGGCAAAAAAACAAAATGGTTTAATAATCTAGAAAAGGAAATACTTGAGGATTCAATAACAAGAGAAATCAAACCAGAATTCAAGCTAGTTGCAAACAATGTAAATATATTTATAATTTTGTTTAAAAAAGTAAAAGAGAATAAAAGAATAAATAAGTAGGTAATATAAAAAGATATAGATCAAAAAGATATCAGAATTGGCAAAATAAAAGAAAAAGAGAACAAGTTTGTAGAAGTTAAAAATTACAAAGAGATAGAAATTACTATCTCTAGTATAAAACAAAATATAATCAAATATGATGCTACTCACAATATTAGAGGCTTCAATACTGCTTCTAAAAGACAAATCTAGCAAGATTACTGTATTAACCATAATATCAACATTGCTTGTATTACTGAAACTAAGATTTTTAACAAAACCAAACACTCTTTTTGTAACAATAACCTTTATATATATTACTAGGCAAATTCAGATAGTTCTATAGAGGGAGCTGCTATTATAATTTATAACTTCTTCAAGCTCTATATACACAGCTATATTACATATCCAGGTGGTGCTATTGCACTAAATGTTTTCTTTAAAAGCAATATTAAACTTTATATTATCTTTGTATACTTTTCTTCTACAGACTTGTTCTCTTTTTCTTTTATTT